AGAGATAAAATGTAAGGATAAAAACCAAAGGAAAGGGCATGAGGGACTGGAGATGGAGAAAAATAGACAGGAAGACAAAAAGAATCTGAGTGAGAAAATGAAGAAAAGAAAAGAAACAGTGCAAATAGATGAAGGCAAGCACAGTAGAGAGGTGGAGATAAGAAAAGAAAGAAGGGAGGGAGGGATGTAGAGAAGGAGATGTGAGAGAATAAGAGGAGAAAAATAAATGGAGATATATGACAATGAAAAAGAGGTAACAGGGACAAAGGATCAGTGAAATGGAGGATGCACAAAAGTTGATAGTAAAACAGAGAGAGGATGAGAAGGAAAAAGGCAACAAGGACAGAGGAAGAATAGAAGGACATATAAAATGGTACAGAAAGGGGAAGATTGGATTAGAGAAGGGAACATTAAGAATGAGTAAGAGAAAAGTTAAATGAAGAGGATAAAATGGGCATTTGGCTGCTCAAGAGAAAAGAAGGGAACACGGAACGAAGAGAAAGGAGAATAGAAGAAAATGAGAGTAGACAAGGAAATAAAACGGCCAGAGAAAAACAGAACGACAAGACAGAGGAGAGAAATTACAAAATGAAAAAAGGAGATCTGAGTGAGGCAGAGAAGAAGAGAAGAGAAGAGGAAGGAAAGACAACAGAGGGGCTAGAGTTGAAAGGACAGAAGGTGAGAGGAGAGCAGAGGAGATAAGAGAAGAAGAAAAGAGCAGCGGGACAACGGAGGACTAAAAAGCTGGAGATAAGAGAAGAAAGCAAGAGAGGCGAGATAAAGGTGGAGGACACAAAGAGAGAGGAGAGAACAGAGTGCGGCACAGGAGAAGAGCCAGGAGGAGAGACGGAGGAAAAAGATGAAAAGGGAGAAGAGAGCGATAGTGGGGGAGGCGTAGCAGAGCCCCCTCCCACCCCGAGCAAAGAATATACTGATGCGTATAATGTGACAGAGCCGTTGCCCTCAAGTAGTCGAGCTATTAACATTTATGAATATTGATGCAGGTGGGATGACGGGCTCCTACGCAGACACTGTTTATGTGTGTGTGTTTAGCTGAATAACGCCGCAAGCTACAAGCGGTGTGTGTGTGTGTGTGTGTGTGTGTATATAGTAAGGCTCTTGTCTGTTACATAGTATCAGTAAATGTTAAGCTTCATTACACAGTGTGCTTTTATCTGCACATGCACATTCAGCGTGTGAATGCTTTCATGCTTCTGCCATGTGTTACATGCATGTGTTTATGCGTGATTACATCTGTGTGTGAGTGTGTGTGAATTCTGCTTCAGTCACCTCTTTGAGCAGGAAGGAGGAGGCAGCGAAGGCGAAGGACCAGCCGTAGCGGTAGTGGAAGAACTGCTCTGGCTCTCTGGGTCGGTTCATCACCTCGTCGTTAATGCTGGAGATATACAAGACCAGACCCACCACCAGACTGAGACCTGCAGAAACAACACACACAGACGCCTTACTGTCGTGATTAGGAGGGGTTTTATCCTGTAGTGACTTACAGCGCCCTCAGGGAGCTCTCTGTCCTGTCTGAGTGTCAGAAGCAGAAGTAAAACAGATGATACTAGTGCTCTCCATGATGCTGATCCTTCCATCAGCAGGGAAACAGGTGTGATAACAGGCAACCTCCAGAATGATTCCAGCCATTACGCTTCACCTGTGTGCAGCCTATACTAAGTCTCTACACCCTGCGTGAGGGGTGACGCGTGTGAGAAAAAGTGAATTAACAGTTTAATTTTGGACTTTTGTCATTAAGCTAAACGAGACTGATGATTCCATCTTTTATACGTCTAATTAATTTTATCTTTCTTTGCAAGCCAACCACAGGATCTGGTCAGATCACCGTCTGCTTGTTTAATCACCTGATTTCAAGCTCGGCTAACAGCCACTTCTCTGATTGGCAGCCATGGAGGTCAGGAGAGACTTGCACAGAAATCCCTGTGGTCTGTTAATACGCTTCAAATTTCAAAGGCTTTTCAGGCAACAGTTGTTTTTGAAAACCAATGCACCTCAGGCAAAAAGCAAAGTGAAACTTCCCTGTTGGATCCAAACAAGTCAACAGGGTTAAATGTAGATAGAACAGAATACAGAAGCATCTGAGTGAAAGGGTTTGACAAAATGATTCAGACCACTGAAATGGCAAAAGGGCAGACCTACTGGATAAACTACAACTAACTACAAACCGAGGAGTAGCAGAGATAATGCCGCATAACCCTCAGCCTGTGATCTCAGCAGAATGGGCCTTTAGTCTTGGTGTGTCCCTGTGGTCTGTAGCTGGACTAGCTCATGATAATGCTTCCTGGTTGTACTGTAAATGGGCTGAAAAAAACCCAGTGGTGGTTTCAAATGCTGTAGAGACGACACACACACACACACACACACACACACACACACACAATAACATGCATTTGTGCTTGCAGTCAAAGAAGCATCTGTGCGCAAGGCACACATACAGTAAATGCAAACACACACTAAACCATACAAATCCTCACAAACTCACACATGCACACACACAAATGAGTCACATTAGGAGTGCATCAGTGCTTCCTCCCCTGTCGACAGACTAACCACTGCAACTGACCTCCAAAATTCTCCAGCAGTGAAACTCCTAAATACTGAACACAGTAAAGATGCTTCCCTTTAAAAACACTGCCTCACTGCTCAGGGTCTCTCATAAAACATAACCAGTACATTAATTTCCAGTGCTGTGCTAAACAGATAAACACTGGCCAGATGTGTTAAGCAGGATTTATGCTTCTGCGTCAGAGGCTGTGTGGCTCTGCAGAGCTGAGGTGCTCCTCTATAAAAATATAACTACATGTCTGGGTCACCGAGACACTGTAGCTGGCTGCTGGCTAGCCGGGAGACGGCGTCCAGATTCTTACCTCCACCTTCGCTTGTCAGTCGATTATTTCTCAAGCTGATTGGGTGGGAGCAGTGACTAAAACAGGCCAGTGTTGCAGTGGGACAAACACTGTGTGTAAAATCTTGCATTATAAATCAATTCAAATGCCTAAATCATCTAGGACTTCCAGACCTTGTTGATGGAGCTGGGCTCAGATATGCACATTTTTAAGGAGACTGAGACATACTATAAAATGTTTGACACCTCATCAAATTATGAGCTGTCTCAAAGTACAGGGCATCTGAAGAACGAATAAATAGTAAAAAAACTGTGCTGTCACCAAAGCTTGATTATCAACTGCAGAGAGGATCATTGGGACTGAACTGCCTGCTATGGACACACTGTACATACAGCGCTGTCGTAAAAGGGCAGAGAACATAATCAGAGACCTACTTCACCCAGCTCACACTCTGCTCAGACACAACAACTGCACATACAACCTCAGGCACAGCAGGGCGAACAGTGTCATCACACACAGAACTAAACTTTACAACAGCTTTTTCCCTGCTGCAGCAAGACTGATTGGAAATACAAAAATGTGAGAATATATGTGCAGTAACCCCTCACTACCTCACCAAGTGTAATGCCATATCCAACTCCACCATGTAAATTACTAAGTGCGATGTTTTGTAGCTCACTGTGGGAAATGCTATTACTCTATTTTTGTGTATTGTGTTTTAACACGTTGTCGCCCTTTGTAACTTTTTATTTTCAGACTAAGTGTTCTTTCTGGCTTTTGACTCCTTACCTGACTCCAAAGGAGAGCTGCACAAGAATTCCTATATGTCTAGACTGTCTGTTTATGCATAAATAGCAAATAAAAATCTTGAATCTTGAACTTGGGCACAGGTTAACTTTAACAGTTTGCTTCACCTGATTAAATAAAAAGTGCTTATGAATATGCGCCACTAATGCAATCAGCTAAAATAAGCAGGACCTGCACTATTACCTGATCTGGTGAGCCTGTCGTGTAAAGCAGCCAAAATCCTATTGTTTGGAATAACAGAAGAAGAAATAGGACAGTTCTCAGAAAGCAGTGGATAAACAGACCAACAGCATAAAAAAGAAGGTGGGTGGATTCTAGCTGTCAGTGCCATGTGCACTCTCATCCAATGTTCTCAGCTCCTAATGATATAAAACATGGCAGTGGGGAGGCTGTGGTCCAGCAATGAGACATAAACAAAGGAGAGATGGGCAATGGGTGAAACTAAAAATACTGGAGAAAGAGACGGATGCACTTCCCTTATTTGGCCATCAGATGGCAGTGTTGTGGCCGAATGCTCATGTAGTCCTGCTGGACTTAGTGTGTGGACCCCGCATGTATGAACACACACATTGACAGAGGGGGTGGGGGAACAGACAGAAAGAGCAATAACTGGAGGAACAACAGACAGGAGGAATGGGAGGAAACAGCAGGTCCAGAGGCACCATGTGGTGACCCCTGTGTGCTCTGGGTCTGTCGGGCAGTTTTAATGACAAAAATACACCACGCTAACTGAGACAAACTGGGCCGTTTTTGCTGTGAACTCAGGCGACATCACTCTAAAGTAGCACTGATTTCTGTTTTCCTCTGACGCCCCTGCTGTGTGTGAGATAATTAGGGCTGCCTTTACAAAACCCACCCTTTTATGGGAGACAACATGACAACTATGGAGCAAAAACAGCTCAGGTGTTGTCGTTCTGCTGTCTAAAAGGTGACAGTGGCATCCATTGAAGTCTGGGATCAGTTGTGTCTTATGTGGACTATCAGACACACGTCTGGCAAGGAGCAGGGGTTTTTACTTCTCCACAAAAGAAGTCAAACAGTTTCTAGTTGCTGAAATAAGAGATGTGACAGAAAATAAAAAGCTTATTATGATTCACTTTTCTCACTGAACCTCTTATAAGTGGCCAATGAGTTTCTCTCTTTGTGCGTAGTTGTATGTGTAATTGTATGAAATCTCTAACTTTTGCCAAGTTATTTAAACATGAAGACTGTTATTTTTCTTAAAATTACATTTGAAAAAAACCTGTGAAAACATTTGTCTTTATATCAAATGGTTTTATTAAATGTGAAATGTCCAAATACCAGATACAGTAAATCTAAGTGTAAAATCACATGTGGAATCAGTGTCTCTATATTTTTGTCCTCCTCAGCTACACACATGAGCACGTCAGAATATTGGGAACACCTCTGAATATAATGTGGTGCAGTACAACACCATCTTTAACCATGACCTCAATGATAAGCACATTATTTAATTTATACATTTATGACAATTTCACCAAAAACTGAAACATTTGAGCTTCATAAACACAGATGTTAAGATGGAAATGTTGCACTTTAGTGCATACAGTTGTACAGGTGTACCTAATAAAGTGGCCGGTCGGTGTGTTTTCTAGCATTAGCATTGGAAATAAAAAATATGAGTAACACAAGACATGAAAAACAGCCCTGGACCAAAATTACAAAGAAGAAGAAGTGTGATCAAACATTTCCTCCAGTAACTTTCCACTCAGCACTTGGGGCTTTCAGCTGCTGTACGTGGCTGGAACAGGATTCGACTGCACTGACGGCTGGTGTCCAGCCCACTTACTGCAGTGAGATAATGGGAGAGCTTTGGCTCAGATCAAAACGGTGCTGTCCTGAAGAAAACCAACGTCCTCATTAAAGATTTTCTGATTGAAATGTCACTTTCCATTCTGTTTGGTTTAAGATGAAACTTGTTACCAAAAGCCTGCAGCCTACATCAAATCGCTGCTGCGCTGCAGCTCCACGGCACAGCGCAATTATTTGGTATTAAGTCCCATTCACTGTTCAGCCAGCAGCCAGAACAAGGTAAGGTCTGACAAGCCGTCAGCTGGGAAAAGGAAAGCAGAGCTGTACAGCGAGTCTCTCATCCACTGAGCTGTCTTTTTATCATTAACCTTGAAGAAAGCTGACTTTTTACAAGCTTGCTCCTCTTCTGCTCTGCTGCTTTTTAACATCTTATTTAAGAAGACAGGTGAGGGAAGAGTTTGATACTTCCACACAGGTAACAAACCTCAGCTTTATTGTCTGTCTCCTTGGCCCCAGTGAGCAAAGGGTCTGTCACTTTCAGTGTTCATTAGTCAACAGGATTTGATCTGGCATGCTTTCCTTTCTCATGCATGAGCAGCTAATACAAAATACATGATTTACCAAACATACTTTGGAAGAAACATAAGTGCTGCCTGGCAACCTTATTTCAACTCTAAGTGTGCTGCAAACATAAGGAAGGGGGTAGGTCGGATGGTTTAATGCAGCACAGCACAGACCTGTTTGTATCCTGCATCCCATCCCCTTTCGGTTTGGATTCCTGAAACAGTTTGATTAAGGTCAGGGAAAGGTTTTTGCTTTGTCCGAAACATCACTGTGCTGCATCAACCTTTAAGTTAGCATCCATTAATTTTCTACAGAGGCTGGGTAACAATTATCTGCACATAAAGATGAAAAAAAAGACTTAAATGTTTTAAACTAGGTTCTAAAAACACAATTCCCTTTGCCCAGTAATGGTCATCTTCACATTTTAATGTTGTCATGTCCATGTCAAATACAAATAAACAGGAAGTGGGATGTATGTGCTTATTATGCTTTAGTTTGCAGGCATTAATGAAATTTAGATTGAATGTTTTGCAGTATGAATGCACATTAAAATAACAATATAAACACCTCCTTGATATGTTGATAAAAACATGCAGATACAATCTGCTTGTACTCCGACATATAGTACTGTTCGTCTTCAAGGACAAAGCAGCTGAAGTCCTCTTAACTGTTATTGCTGCTGCAGAATCTAAAATAAAATACCTCAGTTTGTGAACAGGATTGTGAAAGCGCAATAAAACCCCTGCCACCCTACCCGTGCTAACGTCTGATGTGTCGCTCCTAAAGCTACAGATTTGTTTTCAACCCTTGTTTCTGTGCACATCAATAAGATTTATCTACCTGAGCTGTTACACGCCATGTATAGGACTCTCAGTGCAGGCGCTGAGGATGTTTTCATTTATGATTTTATGCAGACCACATCATGTGCATGTACATTCACATGCACAATACCTGACAGTATGAAGAATATCCCAGAGACAAAGGCGAGGATGGTGCGCTGCGGCCTGATGTGTCCGATGTTGCTTATGACGAAGGCGGTGAAGACGAAGAGCAGGGAGACCATGGGGAAGGGAGTGGCGGTCCGCACCATTTCTAGAGGACAGCGAGGATGGTGGGAGAGGACAGAAGATGAGAAGGAGAGTCATGCAGAGACTGTCAGGAGGAAAGCATCTATGAAGAGCTGAACTCACTGATAAAGATCTAACAGAAAGCTCTAAGTTGTAGACTGCTCCTTAAACTGTTCATTCTGCACGGTGTTAAAATGTTCTCAGCTTCTCCCTTGAGTTAAACCGTCCAAGGCAAAGACACGAGTACTTCTGTTGCACTATAGGAAACCATGCACATTAAATCTGCTTCCTGAGTGAATTTAAGTCCAACATTCACTTTTCTTTCAGTTCAGTTCTGGTCTCCATCAAACACCTGCCTGCTAAATGCTACATTATGTTCACCAGCTAGATGCTAATGTTGTCAGCCAATTCTAGACTGCTAGACTGCTGATGAGAGTACAGAGAAAGCCCATAAGGCCAGTCTGTTGAAAGATGCTATACTACTGCAGAGAACTGAGGGGAACTGCTCTGTGGGAGTTTCTCACTACAAGACACTCTTTTCACATGAGTTATTTGCTCTGTGGTCAATATGAAAATATGGATTAATGCAGCTTTAAGGTCAGACTCACAGTAGCTGCAAACCTGTTTGGTCTGTTGTGCTCCCTAAATAAATAAAGTACCCTCCCATTTACAGTTTCCCTTCATACCTTTGACGGACTGCTGTTTCCTGCGGTAAACCGTACTCATTTCCTGTTTTCTGTATTTGCACTGCGTTGTGCTTGCTTCCAGATTGTTTAAGAATTAAACTCACTATTTTCTAGGTTCTTCTGAATTTTTGAGTGACAACATACGCTTGCACCACTTAAAGCACTTGTTTTGCAGAAGTTCTTGCTAACTACCAAATTTAACTTGCTACTTTAGGTCGGCTAGTTTAGAAGCTAGCTAAGCTAGTAGCTTAATCGAGAGCAATGGCTTCCCCCTCTTCCTCTCCTCCTTTCTCTTGCTCGGAGTGTCGCATGTTCAGTTATTCCTCTGCCTCCTTTAG